AAAAAAAAAATCATCCTTAGGTGCTTGAATCCAAGAGCTAACTAGCCATTTTAAATCATTTTTAAAAGATAAAATATAGAATTTGAACCAAAACACTTGACAGTTGTTGAAGTCGTGTCCTAATACGCTCTTGTTCCGTCCTTGGTAGGACGTTAGGTCATAAATTTGTTTTTCTTTTACATCATCAAAGGTTTTTTTACACCAATTCAATAAATATATAACATATTAACATACATTTTTATTATTAAATCACAGTTAGTTTATATATATATATATATATATATATATATACACTTCTTTTATTTATTACTTTTATAATATCTAGAATAGATAATTATTTTTTTCATTTTATACTCAACATTAATTAATCTAAGTAAGAAAGACGTAAAAAGCATTCAGAATGCGATTTAAGTTTAAGTTTCAGTCTCTTCTCATTTATTGTTGAAATTACGTTATTACTCCTTTCGTTTAATTTTATTTGTCTAATATTTTTAAAATATATTTATTTATTTTATTTGTTACTTTAATCCTATCTAGAAAATATAATTACTCAATTTCAATTTTACAATCAACATTAATTGAGCTGAGTAAGAAAAGGATAAAACGCATTCAACGAATGTGCTTTATGTGTAAGTTTCAGTATCTTCTTATTTATTGTTGAAATTACTTATTACCTCTTCCGCTTAATTTTATTTGTCTAATATTTTTAAAATATATTTATTTCTTTTATTTGTTACTTTAACCCTATCTAGAAAATATAATTATTATTTTCATTTTATAATCAACATTAATTGAGCCGAGTAAGAAAGGCATAAAATGTATTCAGCGAATGCGATTTATGTGTAAGTTTCAGTCTCATTATTGTTGAAATTACATTATTAGCCCTTCCGTTAAATTTTATTTATCCAATATTTTTAAAATATATTTATTTCTTTTATTTATTATTTTTATCATATCTAGAATAGATAATTATTTTTTTCATTTATACTCAACATTAATTGAGTTGGGTAAGAAAGGGATAAAACACATTCAACGAATGCGATTTATGTGTAAGTTTCAGTCTCTTCTCATTTATTGTCGAAAGTACATTATTACCCCTTCCGTTTAATTTTATTTGTCTAATATTATTAAAATATACTCATTTCTTTTATTTGTTACTTTAATCCGATCTAGAAAATATAATTATTATTTTCTATTTTATACTCAACATTAATTGAGCTGAGTAAGAAAGGCATAAAACGCATTCAGCGAATGTGATTTATGTGTAAGTTTCAGTCTCTTCTCATTTGTTATCGAAATTACGTTAATACCCCTTCCATTTAATTTTACTTATCCAATATTTTAAAAATATATTTATTACTTTAATCATATCTAAAATAGATACATATTTTTTTTCTATTTTATACTCAATATTAATTGAGCTGACTAAGAAAGACATAAAACGCATTCAACGAATGCGATTTATATATAAATTTCACTCTCTTCTCATTTATTGTTGAAATTATGTTATTACCCCGTCTATTTAATTTTATTTATCTAATATTTTAAATATATATTTATTTCTTTCATTTATTACTTTAATTCTATCTAGAAAATATAATTATTATTTCCATTTTATAATCAACATTAATTGAGTTGAGTAAGAAATGCATAAAACGCATTCATCGAATGCGATTTATGTGTAAGCTTCAGTCTCATTTATTGTTGAAGTTACGTTATTAGCCCTTTTGTTTAATTTTATTTATCTAATATTTTTAAAATATATTTATTACTTTTATCATATCTAGAATAGATAATTATTTTTTTCATTTTATATTCAACATTAATTGAGCTGAGTAAGAAACACATAAAACGCATTCAACGAATGCGATTTATGTGTAAGTTTCAGTCTTTTCTCATTTATTGTCGAAAAGTACGTTTTAATTTTATTTGTCTAATATATTTAAAATATACTCATTCTTTTATTTGTTACTTTAATCCGATCTAGAAAAATAATTATTACTTTCATTTTATACTCAACATTAATTGAGCTAAGTAAGAAAGGCATAAAACGCATTTAGCGAATGCGATTTATGTGTACGTTTCAGTCTCTTCTCATTTGTTGTCGAAATTACGTTATTACCCCTTCCGTTTAATTTTATTTATCCAATATTTTTAAAATATATTTATTACTTTCATCATATCTAAAATAGATAAATATTTTTTCTCTTTATGCTCAAACTTAATTGAGCTGAGTAAGAAAGGAATAAAACGCATTCAGCGAATGCGATTTATGTGTGAATATCAGTCTCCTCTCATTTATTGTTGAAATTATGTTATTACCCCTTTCGTTTAATTTTATTTGTCTAATATTTTTAAAATATATTTATTTCTTTCATTTGTTACTTTAATCCTATCTAGAAAATATAATTATTATTTCCATTATATAATCAACATTAATTGAGGTGAGTAAGAAAGACATAAAACGCATTCCGCGAATGCGATTTATGTGTAAGTTTCAGTCTCAATTACTGTTGAAATTACGTTATTAGCCCTTCTTTTTAATTTTTTTTTTTATAACCGAGAAATCCGTCTGTGACACGCCCTTTGGACCAATCACAAGCCTTCTAAACTCGGTGGATAATGGGCCCGCCCCTCTACCCTTCTCCACTTAAATACCGGGCTTCGCTTTGCAGGGTGTGGGGCTTGAACCTGCGACCTAAGCCACAACTCCTCCACCTTTTGCCACTTGAGCTAGGCCTTGGGGGCAGCCCTTCTTTTTAATTTTATTTATCCAATATTTTTAAAATAAATTTATTTCTTTTATTTATTACTTTTATCATATATAATTATTTTTTTCATTTTACACTCAACATTAATTGAGATGAGTAAGAAAGACATAAAACACATTCAACGAATGCGATTTATGTGTAAGTTTCAGTCTTTTCTTATTTATTGTCGAAAGTACGTTTTTACCCCTTCCGTTTAATTTTATTTGTCTAATATTTTTAAAATACTCATTTCTTTTATTTGTTACTTTAATCCTATCTAGAAAATATAATTATTATTTCCATTTTATAATCAACATTATTTTAGCTGAGTAAGAAAGGCATAAAACACATTCCGTGAATTCGATTTATGTGTAAGTTTCAGTCTCATTTATTGTTGAAATTACGTTATTAGCCCTTCAGTTTAATTTTATTTATCCAATATTGTTAAAATATATTTATTTCTTTTATTTATTACTTTTATCATATCTAGAATAGATAATTATTTTTTTCATTTTATACTCAACATTAATTGAACTGAGTTAGAAAGGCATAAAACGCATTCAACGAATGCGATTTATTTGTAAGTTTCAGTCTCTTCTCTTTTATTGTTGAAATTACGTTATTACCCCTTCTATTTAATTTTATTATTCTATTATTTTTAAAATATATTTATCTCTTTTATTTGTTACTTTAATCTTATCTAGAAAATAATTATTATTTCCATTTTATTCTCAACATTAATTGAGCTGAGTAAGAAAGGCATAAACGCATTCAACGAATGCGATTTATGTGTGAGTTTCAGTCTCTTCTCATTTATTGTCGAAATTACGTTATTACCCCTTCTGTTTAATTTTATTTGTCCAATATTTTCAAAATATATTTATTTCTTTTATTTATTACATTTATCATATCTAGAATAGATAAAAAAAAATTTCATTTTATACTCAACATTAATTGATCGCTGAGTAAGAAAGGCATAAAACGCATTCAACGAATGCGATTTATTTGTAAATTTCAGTCTCTTCTCATTTATTGTTGAAAGTACGTTATGACCCCTTACATTATTATATATATATATATTCACTCTACTTTATAATTTATGTATGATTATACTTTAATGTAAATATTGAATGCGAGTATAGGTGTGCATGATTTTTACCTTTACTTTTCCCTCACTTAAAAAGGGTAAAAAGTAGAAAATAAAGAAACAAAAAAACTTGTCTTCTATCATGGGTGAAGAATAGAGGGGGCCCTATAATTTTAAGATATCTACAAATAATTGTATTTCATCACTTTAAAGAAAGTAAAATAATTGAAAATAACCTAATCCAAAACCATGATTATTATAGTAGATCATGTATGCCCATGACTTCAAGATTTTTTTGCCCTACCATATTAATATATTTAATCTTTAATTAGTTAAAATATGTGTGTTTAGTTATTTCATATTAAAAATATATTGTATTAACTATTTATAGAATTATATCATTATTAAATATGAAATAATAATATAATTTTAACATAACGTGTATGATAATTAAATTATAAATATAAATATGTGAAAATTCACAAGGAAAGTGATAGAAAATGAACAATTCAATTAATGGGGGTGTATGAACTTAGTCAAATCTCACGAGAAATAAATTAATTTTTTTATTAAGAATTAAGTGTAATTAATCCCTTTAATTACTACATAACATAATCACCATTAATTAACAACAAGAAACAAAAAAGGAAAAGATAAGGCAAAAAAAGAACAAAATCAGAAAAATAGTAAAAACGTTTAATCTACACCAAAGATTTTATCTTTATAAATACAAAAAAATATATCCGTAGCATTAGTAACCGTCCCTACACTCACGTACCATTTCATAATATATTATATCATATTTATTATATTATATTAAAAAATATTATATTATTTTAATAAATATAACCTTTGAATACATGGTACATTTTATATAATGTCATACTTTAATTATTTGAAAAGGCAAATCTACAAGAGAGATAAGATTAGGGGTGTGCATCGGTCGGTTCGGTTCGATTTATCGGTTTTTGGTTTTTAAATACGCTAAACCAATAACGAACCAATAAGATAATTTTTTATCTGTTTTCGGTTTATCGGTTTTGGTCCTTAACGGTTCGGTTTTCGGTTTAACCAATAAGAACATGCTTATGAAACAAATATATGACTTCTCTAATAAATTTGACACGACAAGACAAGACAATAATGTAACTTTACAAAAGCTCATAAAATAGAAATAATAATAACAAACATGAAAGAACTATACATGTGTAACACAAAGAGAAATAAAGAGAAATATGATTCTTACTATAGGTTTTGACGATTTGTATAATGTAAAGTTGTGAACTGAAAGTCACAACGAAGTATGAATTGATGGTTAAATGACAAAGACATAACTATTAAGATATTGAGATTAATATTTATTAATATGTATGTATATGTAAAGTATTAAATTACTATAGTCTTAACTCTTAATGAGTTATCGGTTTACCCAATAACCCAATATTGAAAACCAATACCGAACCGATAACCCGATAATTTTTTTTATAAAACCATTAAGGAACCGTTAACCCAATAACCCAATAGCAATAAAATCAATAACACTTTTTTCGGTTCGTTTTATCGGTCAGTTCGATTTTTGCACACCCCTAGATAAGGTACATAGCAAACAATAACAATAACATATCTAATGAAATTTATAAAGTAAATAATGAAGAGGGTAAAGTGTACATAGTGTTTATCATTGTCTCTCTGAGCCCGAGGTAGAAAAGTTGTTCATTGAAAGACCTTCGACTCTATTACAACGAAAAAACAAAAAAATCAATGTTATCATACCAAATCAGTTATTTTATAAAATAAGACTTTTACCATTATATAGTAACAAATTTATTTAATTATATAATACAATAAAAAATAATATTTTCGTTGTCTCAATTTATGTGACACATTTTATTTTTCGAGAGTCAAACCGTTTAAGTTTGATCAGGAGTTTGCACATGAAATCTTTAATTTTTTTGAAATAAAATTTATATATTTATAAACTACGTAAAAATATTATAAATCATAATAATTGACAATTTAAAATATTTAAAGGATATAAGAAAAAATTAAGATAAAAGATAGACTTATTTGAACTTTAAAATCTAAAATATGGCACGTAAGTGAAACAACGGAAGTAGCAATCAAAACAAATATGGTATTTGGTTGTAATAAGATTTTATGTTCTTTTCTTTTACACTCTCTCTATAAAATATTTTCCATATCCCTTTTATTAAAAGCCAACTAAAAGAAGAAGAAAAGGAAAGAAATATCTCTTCCATATTCCTTGCCTTCCATCACTTTCCAGCTGTTTGAGAATTTGGGTTTTTGGATCCAAAGCCTTCTTTTCTCTCTCTAAATCTTGAAGTCCATCTGTCTGTCTAAGCTTTCATCCAGATCAGTCACAAAAAAGAATTACCTTAAATTCTTAAAAATTGACATCTGGAGAGCTGTAAATGGACCAATTTCCTGTTATTCATATCCCAGAGTGATCTCTTTTGAGGTATATATGTTAATGATTAATCCTTTTTTGGACAATTTATTTTCTGGGTTTCTTGTGTTTTGAGGAAAAAGTCTTTCTTTTGAACATTTGGTTAGTCTTTTTCACTGTTTTGTTAGATGGGGTTCGTGAGAATTGAGGAAAAATATCCTTTTTTGGACAATTTATTTTCTGGGTTTCTTGTGTTTTGAGGAAAAAGTCTTTCTTTTGAACATTTGGTTAGTCTTTTTCACTGTTTTGGTTCATGGGGTTCTTGAGAATTGAGGAAAAAATCTTTCTTTTGAACATTTGGTTAGTCTTTTTCACTATTTTGTTTTATGGGGTTGATAAACTCTTTCTTTTGAACATTTGGTTAGTTTTTTTACTATTATGTTTGATGGGGTGCTTGAGAATTGAGGAAAAACTCATTCTTTCAACATTTGGTTAAAAAAGTCTCACTGTTTTGTTTTCTGGATTTCTTGTTAATAGGTGGCCAAAGATTTGATATATGTGATTCATTGTTTTGTACCTGAAGTGAAAATCTTGAAGATGTTTTTGTGCCTAAAAATTGAATCTTTGATGAGCTGAAAAAAGAGAGAATTTTGGGGTGTTTGAAATAATCAAAAGGGGTCATCTAGTTTTTTCCTTCTTATGTATTATCCACTCATAAATGTTGAACCTTTGGTGAGCTTAAAGGAGGTAATTTTGTGTATTGTTTGAAATGATCAGTAGGTTCATCTGTAGTTTGTCCTCTTTATGTATTGAAAAACTGAACCTTTGGAGAGCTAAAAAAAAGGAGGTAATTTTGGGTATTGTTTGAAATAATCAATAGGGTCAATCTGGATTTTTCCTCTTATATATGTATTCTCCACTCATTAAGCTTGAAGCTTTTGAGTTTAAACTAAAAAGGAGATAATTTTGGGTGATTCAAGTGATCAAAAGTGTAATCTGTATGTTGCCCTCTTATGTATTCTCCAGGCATAGAAATTGAAGCGTTTGAGAGCTAAAAAAGGAGATAAATTTGGGTGTTTCAAGTGATGAATGGAAGCCATCTGGATTTTTCCTATTATTTAGTATGATATGAACTTAAACGAAGAAGTGAGGATTCATATAGCGACCTCAACTTGTTTGGGATTGAGTCATAGTTGTTGTTGTTGTTGTTGTATAAAGATTGAAGCTTTGGTGAGCTAAAAGGAGGAGATAATTTTGGGTATTGGTTCAAATAATCAATAGGGTCATATGGTTTTTTCCTCTTATTTAGTATAATCAAGAAGTGGGATTCATATAGCCGACCTCAACTTGTTCGTGACTGAGGCGTAGTTGTTCTTGTTGTTGTACAAAGATTGAAGCTTTGGTGAGTTAAAAAAAGAGATAATTTTGGGTGTTTCAAAAAGATCAAATGGGGTCATCTGGTTTTTTCCTCTTGTGTATGCTTCATTCTATGGTGGCCTTAACTTCTGGAGCTTTGATGATGTTTTATAGCAATGAGGTATTTATATTTAGCCATGGAAGAGAGCGTGCGAGTAAGCTTTTTGGATCGACACCGCATGACCAATTGATAATCCAAACATCAGATTCATTCTCTGGTCTGCTTTTATTTGCCATTGGTTTTTTCTTGTTCATGGTGGCATTTGTTAAAGACAGAGAGTTTCACAATTTCTTTGCTAAGGGATGTGTCCTCCTTCATATAGCTATGGCTGTTTGGAGAATTTACTTTGAGAGGAAGCTTGAGGAGGATCTCGGACACGATTGGCTGAGATTGGTTGTTGCTGACATTGCTTTAGGACTTTCTTGGGTTTTCTTTCTCGTGTATTCTTGGAGAGAGAAGTATGATTAGTCTTCGTTCGTCCCTTCGAGGGATGATACAGAGAAGATTAGCATGACCCTTGTTCAAGGATGACAAAAACAAATCAGAGAAAAGTGTGATTAGTCTATGTTGCCTTACTTCCTTTGTTTCATATATGGATCTTGTGGTTGCCATTTTCATGCCTTGAAGGGACACACATTTGAGTCCATATTTAGATGTTTAGATGAAAAAAACTGTCTTTGTTCAAGTATCACTCAACTACATCGCAATTCCGAACTAGTTGGATTTGGCTAAAGAATCTGAAAGTTTGCAGACTGAAATCTGCTCTGCAAGAAGTTAGGTTTTGAACACAACCAGATTGTGCTTCTTTGCTTTAATCTTGTATAGTACTTTCTTCCTTTTCTATTTTTGTGGACAATTCTTGTAAAGTGCTTCATTTACTTGTGTAAGTTTCTGTTGATAGAATGAGATGTGTTTGTGATCTCCTGATGTTGGCTTTTGTTTGGTATTCTAACTTTCTATACTGCAAGACTCGATGTGAGCTTTGAAGCAACAGTAAAGTTCTCTTCGTGTAATCTATAGGTTGTGGGTTCAAACTATAAAAGTAGTCATTTATGATTGCATTAAGGTAGGATGTCTACATCGCACCCTTTCTTGAGGTGCGGTTCTTTCATCAAATCCTATTAATAGAGGATGCTTTGTCCATTAAGTTGCCTTTTCTTTTCTATAAAGTTGCATTATTTCTGATTTGAAAATGTGTGATTGATCACTTTGTCTTAATATATGATACATTGTCAATAATATAAGACTTAATTTACCTTCTTTATGAATATTCAATGCTAGTGGCTTTGATTAGTACAGAGCCTATGACTCAATCCTCATTAGTCATGAATCTTTAGTTGGGTCCCTCTACTTTTATTTTTTTAGGACCAACTTCCTAGATCAATCATAGCTTTTGAAACTCGAGAATAATGGGTTCGCTATAACTATTTTTCTTCACTTTAATATTAGGTTCTGATCGTTTCGAGTAGACTCAAATATGTGACATGAATCACAAGTTTCTCAACTTTTACCCCTAGAACTCAACTCTAGGGCATCTTTAGAGTCTCCTTTTTTTTTTTTTTTTTTTATCAATAACGATCTTGTCCTTCTACCTTTCTCTACTTAAATATCTTTGCATAGCGAAGGAAGGTATTTGTTTGGTTAATATTAGCTTGACTTAGTCTTTTTTATTTGATAATTTTATTATATTTTTTAGTTCTCTTGTTACTCTTATATAAGCAATATCAGTATGGATCTAATTAAGGAGCACTAGAAAAAATGAATTGAGAATGCTTTGAAGATCACTCAACTCTAAAAGGACACAGAGTGAATAATTGTCATCGAATTTAATCCACAAAACACAAACGACCAATGTCCCAATTTAAAAAGTCCCCTCAACTTTTCCACTTGAACTCAACATGGGGTATCTTTTGTTGGTCCCCTTTTTAGCTCAATTTGGTTGATCCATTGGCCCACCTAACAGATGATAAGATTCTCAATCGAATGTCAACAAGTCTTCTTCATTATATTTGACTTCATCTTCATGCTTAATGTTTATCGGTGATAGTTTGTAGCTGCATTGTTCTATGGAAGGTCACTTGAATGTACTTTTTATTAGAAAATGATATTGTATATATAGGTTGACAACTTCTTTTTTGAGATAAATATATTAAAATTTTAAACATTTTTTAACAAAAAATTTAACTTCGCCATCGATAATAGTCCTTCTATCTCTAGTATTATTTTCTATTATTAGATCTTCCAAAATTTGAAGTATGTCATTTGCAAATAGTCCTGTTGGTATGCAAAGTCTTTTTTGAAAAGAACAAGTGAAGTTACATTGTCTATCTCACTTTATAGATTCTTCCTACAATAATGCTGTTTTTAGTGTAAGCTTACACTTTTTTCTGGCCACAAAAAAAAGAAGAAAAAACTGAATAACCAACCCCACTCCCCATCCCACAGGGGCACAGCCAGATAGATCCGAATTTTATTTGATAAAAAATTATATTATTTATATATATATATATTAGATGTTGAATTTCTTTTGACTATCAGACAAACCAGGCAAGGTAGATAAGAATGGTATGTAAGGTAGTAACATATTAGGATGTACTTTTATGATAATGGTGTTTGAATCAACATGGGTGCAATTTTTATGATAGTGATGTTTGAATAAATATGTGTGCAACTTAAGCAACATGCTTTTGATTGGTAAAGGAGGCAATATATATATGACAAAATTGTATGATAGGAAAAGCATTGAAAATATTCTAAACTTGGCGTGAATTATTATTTTAATCTCTCAATTATTGTCAATCTAAAAAATACCTATCTACTTATTAAGTAATTTAAAAAATACTCCTCTTATGCCACTTGTCATTCATTTATGCATATATGTGAAATTTTCTATTGACACAGTGTACACATAGATAGATATATATAGTTAAAGAAAAAGTATTTAAACTAATAATTTGACAAAATTGTATGGTAGTGAAAGAAAAAAAATGATATGTTCAAATTTATTATGTCCAACTTGTGAAACTTTTGTCAAAATTAGAATTTCAACATCATAAAATTACTTTTCTTTTCTTTAATTCTGCCGACATAAAATTACTCCAAGAAATTTCAACATCAAAGAGGAGTGCTTAAATACTTTTTCTTAACTATATATATATATATCTATATATATCTATGTGTACATCGTATCAATAAAAAATTTCATATATATGTATAAGTGAATGACATGTGGCATATATAAGAGGAGTATTTTTTTAAAATTTCTTACTCAAATAGATAGGAAGGTGATCAATAATTAAGGAACTAAAATTATAATTCACACCAAATTTAGAATATTTTTAATGCTTTATCTCTTAAAAAATAAATTACAATTATCATATAATAAGGTGAATTTGCAGCCTTTGATGCTAACTTCAACCCACCTCATGTTTAATTGCATGTTAATTTGGGATTGGAAGTTGAATTCCTTGTAATAGAAGTGACATGTACCCAAGATAGAATTTCATTTCTTCTTCTAAAATTTCATAGAAAAGGGAGGGGAGCATGTCAAACTGGAAAGCAAAAAATATTAAAAGTAATATAAGCGGTAGATATTCATTTATTTTTTATTAGAGATGATCTTGAATTTAAGTTTTTGAAATAAACTTATCTTTACTTTTTGTTTGGATGCTTGTTATGTATCATTTCGTAATGTGTGTTATATTGTATTGTATTGCTTAATGAGTATAATGTTTACATAAATTATATCGTTTTCATTCGTTACTCAAAGTATGCTTTTATCCTTTTAAGTTTAGTCTGACCGACCATTGAGATATTCTCAACCTCATATCCTCAGGACTAGACGAGCTAATAATCACGTCTACCTATCAAGTCCAGATTTTGATTTATACAAAATTCAAATTAATCTGATCACAAAAAAAATATCAAACACCGAATGAAAAAAATAAACTAAAAAGGAAAAGCAAAAAAAGGAGACGTTTGGCACATTTGTAAACCAAAAGTAGTGGGAGAACTTAGCCTTTTTTCCTTTCTTAATAAACCTACCAAGTTAGATTGTCAACAGATACATCGCCGTCTACAATCAACCGAACGCCGGCGAAGAACTACGGAGCAAAAAAGGTAAGCCGCATATCTACATACTATTCTATTCGAAGTTTGAAGTATCGATGATTGACAATTTTTGAATTAATCATTTTTTTTCGTATTTTTTACTCCGATAACTCAATTCAACCCTTGAATTTGCGTTTTTATGTGCTCCGTCACTTTGATTTTAGAACCCTAAGCGTTTTGATTACTTATTTTTTCGATGAAACAAAGTCAGAAATATATGCCTAGTAGCGGAGATGGAATTTGAAATCAATTGATCCATTGCGTAATACAACAATAAACCCACAGGTGCGATTTGTGGAGGATAGAGTGTACGCAGAGCTTAATGACCGCGAAATTTTCCAGTACTTTGAGCTAATCGTAACCTTCGAAACTCAGAAGATGATGAGTTCGCCCCTCTTAGCATTCTCTATTTAAATAGTGGATTTAGTTCACTTGGCTGAGGGCTTGAACTTGTGGCTTAAGACACAAATCCATCAACCTTTGCTAATTGAGCTAACCACTAGGGCTGTTGGAGGTAATTTTTGTCTCCGGGGCAACAACAACAAACTCAATGTAATCCCACAAGTGGGGTCTGAGAAGGGTAGTGTGTACGAGGACCTTACCCATACCTTGAAAAATTACCTTGAAAAGGTAGAGAAGATGTTTCCGATAGAACCTCAGCTCAAAATAAATGAAAAGATGACAGTAGCAACAAGCTAGAACAAAAACAAGAGAACACAGTAATTGAGGCTAAGGAATCAATGGATTGAAATAGAAATCTAAGAATACGAAAATACAAGACTAATACTAATACACTAGGGAATAGGAAAACAGAACACTCGACTACCTACTAGCATTTTATCCTTATCCTCGACCTCCACACCGTCCTATCAAGGGTTATATCCTCGGTATGCTGAAGCTACGTCATGTCCTACCTAACACCTCATCCCAATACTTCTTAGGCCTAATTCTACCCGTCCTCAAGCCTTCGACCGACCAACCTCTCGTGCTTTCTTACCAGCACATCCACACTTCTCTTTTTTACAAGCTTGAATCATCTCAACCTTACTTCTCGTATCTTATCCTCCATGGGGCCACTCCAACCTTGGCCCGAATATCTTGATTCCTAATCTCATCTCTCCTTGTATGCTCACACATCCATATCAACATCCTCATCAATTCTACTCTCATCTTCTAGACATGATAGTTTTTGACTGACCAATACTCTTTCCCACATAACATAGTCCCTCTAACCACCATTCTATAAAACTTACCTTTAAATATTGATTGCATTTTCACCATTCAATGAATGCTTTAGGCACCTTGTAATTTTTGTTTATTTAGGATTGAAGATCTTCCTGATACTCTCTTTTTATTTGTAATTAGTAAACCTGTAACAAGTTGTGGCAGGTCTGATTTTTTGGAATATAATACAAGACTGTTACCTTCTCAAAAAAAAAAGAATATTTTTTTACTCTTAGTTTATAGAAACATATTTTCTTTTTTCACCCAAGGGTGCCTAATAGTTAAGGAAGTGGATCGAAAATCATGAGGTCTCAAGTTTAAATCCCACTTGAGGCAATAAACATTAGGTGATTTCATTCTATTTGTTCAGCCCTTGGTGGATGGAGTTACTCGATACTTTTGCTAGTGGGAGGTAGCAGGTATCTCGTGGAATTAGTTGAGGTGCACGCAAACTAGACCAGATAACACTATTATTAAAAAAACAAAGAAGTGTATTCTCTTTTGTTTCTTCCAAATGGTTGATTCTTTTTCCATCACGTTCTGAATTTTGATCCATGTTTTGTGATAAGGAAATTAGACAGAAGCACTATTTACTGAATTACGGACAATGAACACCTGCTGTTCATCATTTTAAGCATTTTTAAATTCGAATTATCCTCCTAAGTAAAGATGTTTTTTATCCTTCTTAATTGTAGTATAGAAATGTCTATGTGAATAGTTTGTTATCCAAACAATTATGACTTCTCCATAAGTGTTTTCCCTAACAAAAGTGATGGATTGAAGGGGACTCTAATTTAAGGAACATCTAGTTTCGGAGAACTTCTAATATGTTTTAGGAGACAATAATGGAAGAGCAGAAGTGATATAGAAGATTCATATAGCTGACAATACCCGTTTGGGTTTTAGAAGTAGTTGATTGATTGATTGAAGTAGACCTTATTAGGAAATTTGCATTGTAAAGCGGCATTATTCCTAAAGCTAGAGAATCTCACAAATTATCACTGAATACACACTTCTTTTGTTGAATAATTTTCACTTCACCTTTTCTATTTCATTATGTATAGTGTCTGACACGTCATGTGGAATAATGGTTAGTAATTTAGTTGACACTTGGCATACTATTGCTTAATTGTTAAACGTCCAAATAGACAACGCTCTTTGAGGTAGAATGTAGCACGACATTGTAATGTCATCAATGACATCATTTGTGCCTCTTACGAATGTGTTTGAGATTACATCTTTGTTGGAGAAATATGTTAGTACGAAAGAACTTATGTTGTGAGAAGATTAGTATTCATTTGGTTAAATAGAAGATGAAAAAAAGTGAATGGAAAAGCTCTTTTTGGTAGTTGGGGTGGTGGTGGGGGTGTTGTGGGGAGAGTTTTTGCCTGAACAGGGGAAGAGGGGTGCAGGTAGAGTAATCTTTACTCTGATAGTCCTCAGAGATTATTTTTTTCTCCAGGAGAAAGCTTGTCTCTCTTATCTTTTAGCCTCCCCATGAGAAAGGTCTTTTTAGTAGGATAATATAATTATCATTTGGGTAAACCGATTAACTCATATATAAAAGGTTCCAAAAAACTTATGCACACTTAGATGTGAGTTTTTTTGTAGTGATATGTGCTGGAAAAGGGTACCGAAAAAGCAGGGGGGGGGGGATGGGATAGAAAAAGAGATTCTGTTTCTGGAAGCTCTATATGTTTTGAAATTGTTTTACTAGTGTAGAACCCATCAGAATCCTTTTAATGATTATTGAGGATTTCTTTTAATAACAAGTGCATGTTGTTTGACATAGACGTGATGTGGAAAAAAGGGGAATCCTAATACTTGCAATATCTTTTTCCACTTATTTTCATAAGAATTGTGGTTAAGCATTTAAAAAAGGATTCCGTCAGCACTAGATGTGCTCGATTGCTCATGTTTAATCAGCTCTTGATTACTTCATGTGAAGGTGGTACAGTAACACTATTTTGTGGACTCCATAATAGATTATTAGATTGATGAAATTGTAAATTTGACGTCCTATCACTGTTTTCGATAGACACCCTTTTGGGTTTCTTCTCCTCTTCTGGAAGTTTTGATGAGTTGAATTTGAAATGCATTTCTTATACATTATTTTGGTCCTTTCTAGTTTGTTTGGTCATGTTTTTGGGAAGCTAAAAGTGTTTATTGTTTTTTTTTTAAAAACTTCTTATTTTTAAGAGTCGACGTGTCCCCAAAACACTTTTGGAACCTTGGCCAAACACAGATTGTTGCTCTAATATTGGCAAAAATGTTTATAAAATTGACTAGTCAAACACAAACTACTACTCTCCATGAGTACTTTCTCGAAAAACATTGACAAAAAACTCTTTTCAAAATAAGCAGATTTTAGAAGTTCGGCCAAACAGACTATCTGTTGGCTTATATTAGTGTGTATTTCAGTGCTCAAGTGTCCTTCAGATAGCCATTGTTGATTGTTATTTCTAACTCCTCCAGTAATCTTTGACGATGGGTGGACTGCCGATAGAGAATACATCCACAACCATATCCTTGTCGAAACTTCCAAAAGATCAGAAGTCAACCGCATCTACAATGCCCGATTCAAAGCCAAAGAAGAAGATTTGCTGCGCTTGCCCTGAAACTAAGAAGCTGAGGGATGAATGCATTGTGGAGCACGGTGAATCCGCTTGTGAGAAATGGATTGAAGCTCATCGTAAATGTCTTCGAGCTGAAGGCTTCAAGGTCTGATATTAGTGATAGAAGCAGATTTCTAACTAAAAAGACAAACGAAGATACAGTGTTTTGTATAATGCCCAGTTTGTTTTTGGGACCATACAAGCTCTCAATTAGCTAGTGTTTACAGATCATTTATACAGAGGAATTTTGTTTATCCAAAGTTCAGGAATAAAGCTAGGAAATTGAATAATCGATTTGTTTGGGCAGGAAATGTCAGATATTTTTTCTTAACTATTTGTATTGTGAATTACATTTCTTAATGTAGATCGATCAATCCCGCCTTGTTCAAGTGATTGCCCCTAGCCAAGCGATATTGGAGGTTGTGTTGCTTATTGTTCATAATGGGCCTACATTTAACTCGCGTATCGTAGTATTTGTTTTTGTGAATTACATTTCTTGGTCTAGTTTTTGCTTTGTGAATTACATATCTTGATGTAGATCGATCAATCCCATCATGTTCAAGTGATTGCTCCTAGCCAAGTGAGATTAGAGGTTGTGTTAATGATTGTTTATAATGGGCCTACATTTAACTTAGTATGTTACATAGTTTTCGTTTTTGTACATTTGTCGTCCCTTAACCCCTCTCCCACCTTTCTATCTATCATTAGGAGTAAAATGGTGACATTCCTCACTTAGCTTAGCACCCATCCGTCCTTTGCTACCAATTTGACAGCTTATTGTAAATCAGGGTTAAAGTTTGTCCTCGTCCTAGAGTTCTTATGAAGACTCTGGTGGTGCATGTGTATGATAGGACTTCCGTAAGTGCCAAATATCAATAATGTTTTGTTATAATAAGTGTGGAAAGTTGATAGTATACCTTGACTTGCATTAAAAGTACTATTTGTGCATCAAGTAGAAAAAATGCTTATTACGAAAATAGTATTAGTGTTTTTTCTTGTATATAGAGAAAATAGAAGTTTTTAGCACCTTATTAGCTCACTTCTCCCATGTTCTTTGGTTTAATTTTGTATAATAATGTACGAATATTTTAATACAAGGTAACTTGAAATATAAAGTAATAATATGTTATATCTACTTAAATTGTAATATCAATATAAAGTTTCCTTTAATGGAATGTATCCATAGGAATATTTGGTATTAATATCTAATTCAATTAGTTTAACTTCAATAGAGTTTATTAATATCAATTACTTGAAGAGAGTTAGTATATGTATCACATAATGAAATACTCCCTCCGTCCCATTTAATATGTCATCCCTTTTTATAAATAGCTAGACCACAATACTTGTCATTTTATAAAATTTATGCATAAATTACCATATTTTGCCAATTATATCTTTGATAGAATAGTTAATTAATCTTGTCATTTATTAATAAAGTTGACTTAAGAAAACATTAAATAAGGGTAGAAGGGTAAAGTTACATTATTTCTTAATGCAAGTGCAAAGTAAAAATGTGACATATAAAATGGGACAGAGGGAGTACTATATTTTATTTATTTGTTTATTACTAAGTGATTAAAAGTTTCAAAAGAGATGAATTAACGGAAAAGGGTCAAGCTTGTCCCTGAACTATGCGAAATAGACCACTTATACCCTCCATTACATTTTGGGATCAAAAATACCCCTTCCGTTATCTTAAGAGATCACAAATACCCTCAAGAGTTAACAACAGTGATTTGGCACGCCACATGGCACTAATTCCGCCACCTAAGCTTGCCAACTAGGATACCCACTAAATTTTGACCCAATTTATAATTCAAACTCTAACCCATTTTTGCTAGACCCGACCCACTAAAATTAAGAGGCAAACATCATCTTTACACATCATTTTTGTTATTCAATTCAATAGACCAACGATTAGGATATTTTGAAAAACACAATTGGCTTAAAGAATTTAGTTTCAATTGCTGACAGTGCTCCGCCACCCTAGAGAATAAGTTATATTCATACTGGACTTTTTCATAAATCTCAAACAGAGATGTAAAGAGATTTTAAGAGACATAAATTTCATTACCATAGCATTTTATTACATTAATTATTTAAGGGTAAAGGGTCAAATATGCCCCTAAACTATTCAAAAAGATCTAGGTATATCCTCCGTTTAAAGTTTGGCTCACTCATGCCCTCACCGTCCAACTTTTGGTCTAAATATGCCCTTATGGGCGTTAGTTGGTCTGCTGGACATATCCAACTCATTTTTCATTTCTTTAAATGCCACATGGAATTGCCATGTCATTTTGACTTTACCACGACATTTATATGAAAATTGAAAGGGATCAATTATGCCCCTAAAAAATTCGAGCCCATAAATACCTAATCCGACCCATAAATCAACCCCCTTTTTAAATAAACTACCCGACCCCTTTTCAATAATTTTGTTTAAATTTTAATTTTTTTTCGATAAATCCTGAAAATTAGTAATTGATTAATTAAAAATAGGAAAAATATGAAAAAAAATATAAAATTAACGCAAAAAAATTCACAAATAAATATTGTAACCTTAAATTCAACAATTTTAACTAATTTTTTTAAATTTTTATTTTTTCCGGTAAATTCCCGAAAATGAGTAATTGATTAATAAAAAATATGAAAAAAAGTATAAAATTAACGCCAAAAAATTACAAACAAATATAGTAACCTTAAATTCAAAAATTTCAACAATTTTTTTTTAATTTTTATTTTTTTCGGTAAATTTTGAAAATGAGTAATTTATTAAAAATAAAATAAAAATTAAAAAAAATTGTTGAAATTTTTGAATTTAAGGTTACTATATTTGTTTGTAATTTTTTGGCGTTAATTTTATATTTTTTTCATATTTTTTATTAATCAATTACTCATTTTCGGGATTTACCGAAAAAATAAAAATTTAAAAATTGTTGAAATTGTTGAATTTAAGGTTGCAATATTTATTTGTGAATTTTTAGCATTAATTTTATATATTTTTTTCATATTTTTTCTATTTTTCATTAATCAATTACTAATTTTTGGGATTTATCGAAAAAAACAAAAATTTAAACAAAATTGTTGAAAAACGGGTCGGGTAGTTTATTTAAAAGGGGGGGTTGATTTATGGGTCGGATTAGGTGTTTATGGGCTCGAATTTTTTAGGGATATAATTGATCCCTTTCCATTTTCATATAAATGTCATGTAGTAAAGTCAAAATGACATGACAATTCCATGTGGCATTTAAAGAAATGAAAAATGAGTTGGATATGTCCAGCAGACCAACTAACGCCCATAAGGGCATATTTAGACCAAAAGTTGGACGGTGAGGGCATGAGTGAGCCAAACTTTAAACGATGGATATATCTAGATCTTTTTGAATAGTTTAGGGGAATATTTGACCCTTTTACCCATTATTTAATTAGTTCTGTGAACAACAAACATAATTGGCAATTCCAACCAACCCTAATTAATTAGAATACAATGTAAAGGAAACATAAATTATTTCAGATCTCAATTTCTAGAGGATAGTACAATAAGAAATTGATTTAGATTCTCTGATGTCGTCGTTGTAGACATCGCCGGAGCAGATGTAGCCAGATATGTTTGCCTCTTAATTTTAATGGGTCGGATCTAGCAAGAATGGGTGAAGGTTTGGATTCTATATAAATTGGGTCAAAATTTAGTGGGTATCCTAGTTGACAAGCTTAGGTGGTGGAATTTGTGCCATGTGGCGTGCCACATTATAACTGTCAACTTTTGAGGGTATTTGTGGTTTCTTAATATAGCGACGGGGGTATTTTTTTATCTCAAAATGCAATGAAGGGTATAAGTGGTCTACTTTGCATAGTTCAGGGGTAATTTTGATCCTTTTTCGATGAATTAATGAATGATTATTGAGATTATCAACCTCAAAATTCTACATGATTCAAGTCTCGACTATTGTGAGATATTGTTATATATAAAGTGTATTTAATATACTGAAAGCTATTTTTTCAAAAAAATGATATATAGTCAAAATGGCCAAAAGCCTCCTCAACCTATAATCGGATTCTCAACTACACACTTATACTTTACGAGAGTCATACTACACCTCTGAACTATTTTTAAATGAAGTTATTTGCTCCCTAAATGCTGATGTGGCAAATAGGGTGTAGTTCACTCTCTTCTCTTTAGGAGAGTGAGAGATAAAAAGATAGTTAAAATATTAACTTTATAAATATTTAATTTATTTCATATTAATATTCTATTTTTATAAAAAATATGTTTCCTTTTATTTATTTTTTACCTTCTTTATCTCTTCCCTTCAATCTTCATCATCAGATCCATACTAGACATTTAGTGGTGGCTCACCTCAACCACCAGGTCACCGCCCCTCATCATATTTTCATCACTAAGTCAATTCTCATCATCAAATCACATACTTTTCATCATATCTTCACTTTTCATCACTTTGAAAATTTGTTGGTAGCTCAAAATCAAAAT